GCTCCTGAGCCACAGCTGCCCCATCACTAATTTTGCAATCGTTGAGAAACAAAGGTCTGGTGTTGTACCAACTGAAGTTTACCCCAGCTGAAGAAACAATCAACCAATCAAGAGTTTTATAGGCTGGACTAGGAATGGGGACATACCTAGCTAAAAATATTGTGACAGGAAAATGGTAACAAAAATGGGCAAACAGGTGTAAAGGTCATTTAATGTTGCTCTATATATAATAAAATCAAAAAAGAAAACATATTTCTTTAAATAGCATAAAAGACGTAGAGCTATCACAGCTCTGTGTTAACTGAAAATGACGTTGGTGGTATGGAAATGGGCTAACATGAACAAGGTGACACTAAAAATGGCAGTCCTACCATTACACTATCAAATTTTTACGAACAAAAACTAATGACAATCGGAAGAAGTTAAAGCTGCAATCACATAAAAAGTGTACACGGACCTTTAGGATTAGTGACATGCATGATATAATTAGGAGAAGGAAACACACACCTGCCAATCCATTCACTCCGATGAGTCCAGCAGAACTGGCAATGCTGACAAGATGGCCATGATTGTTGGCAATCATGGCAGGAAGGAAGGCCTTGTAGGTCTGAGTGGAGAGAGACAGGAAATTTTAAACAGTACAAAGAAGCTTAACAGGATGACTAACAACCACTTTTCTGTGTAATCATTTAAATATACTGTAAGTAGATTTCATGAATTATCTTGATTAGTCCATGGATTACTCAGTTATCATCATAACAGCAGAGGCTAAACAAAATGTTAAATTCATCACTACAATATTGCCTAATCTGTCTATAAATCTGCATGTTTTCTCAGATAAAGTAGCCAGAAAACCTTATGAAAAGCCTAAACTGACTGTGTGTAGTCATTTTCAAGCTGGGAGCTCTGCGTGTCTGCTGCGCCTGACTGACCCAGAAGTGAGCCATAGTGTTGACCTCCACTGTCTTCTCAATCAGGGAATCAGGAGCATCCATGAATTTCTTTCCTGTCACGATGCCGGCATTGTTTACCAGAATGCTGACGTCGCCCACCTCTCGCTTTACCTGCATGGAGCAAAGGAAAGTGTTTGTCATGCATGCTTGTGTGTGTTGCTTGTTTTGTGGTGGTCTTGTGATCTGTTACATCAGAGAGCTGTGTAGGTTACGATTACTGGTTCTATAACATTCATGAAACATGTTTTCTCATCGCCAACTGAAAAAAAAATATGTAGGTTTGAGGGAGTGTGGAATGGTTCGAAAGAGTAACGATTCAGTGGTTTTATAAAAAATCCATGAACAGTAATGTGTACACTTCCCTTGTTGAAGTAAGCTCAAGGAATACATATATCTGGATTTGTAACTTATTTCAAGACTGTGTTTGTGTTGTGTGGTGTGTGTGGTGTGTGTGTGTGTGGTTATGTGTGTGTGCGTGTGCGCGTGTGTATAGTGTAGTGTGTAAATCAGGGTGTTGCCTGGAAAAGGCCATGGATAAGCACAACCCACAACCCAGCCACAGACAATTATCATTACTGAATATTAGGTGTGCCATGGTACTACCCCTTCAGGATAATGTGTTTGATGACATTTATTGGTTAATTTCACAAATAATACAAACTTTATGATGAAAGCTTGGAAAGTCAGTTTGAGGAATTCATATCTGGATTTGAATCTAGCAGTGCATGTGTGTGCACGCCCTTAAGACAGGGGAGGGATGATTGTTGTGTAAACAGACACTTAGGCCCTGTTTACATAAACATGTGTCTTTGGTGATCAGATCACAAGTGGACAGCTCTAAGTACAAGTGAGTAATTGCACAATAACCACCAACACACATTGTAAGCTGATCAATCAAACCTCGTGCATAGGTTGACAGATTTGACCACATATCTTTGGTAGTGTAAATGCCACACTGAAGGACCGCCTACTCAACTGACATCCTGTAACTGACACATGATGTGTATTTGATTAGTTATTATGCAAATTGTGTGCTTTGGGCTTCAACAGGTGAACTAGTAACCGCAACAATTTGACCGTATCTTGTAAATCCAGCAAAGGTTATACATCAAGTTATTTATTTTTGTAAAAACACTGTCTATTTGTCCTAGCTTACTGGCTGGAGTGACTAGGAATAGGACAATATACAATATTATCGCATATCGTGGTGAAAACACTCTCCTCACATGGCTTGACTTGAAAAAGCTGTCTAGCTTTCCAGCATGCTGTCCTATATTGCTCTTCTATAATGTAAGGTAAAATTATTCCAGTATGTTTTAGTGCAATTTTAAAAGTATGAAGTGTATTTTCATACAATGCCTTCTTCATCATCTGTAATGTAAAAACATCAGGCTGATAAAGGAGTTTAGTGTTGCGTGTGGAGGCGCATTTTAATGCATGGTGTGAGCTGACGTAGCACACTTGTGATTGGATCGACCTAGACGCATTTTAATGCCAGGTATGGAGAAGGCCTATGACACAATCCCATTTTGTAAAAGATATCCCCAATGGCAGAATAATTAGACTTGATATTAAGCACAAGAGTTGTTAATACCCTGAATTGAGTTGTTATTCAAGGAATTTGGATGTTATTTTGTAGATTAAAAGGTGCAATATGTAAAATTTTGAAGCAATTTATACCACTTTACATTGCCAATGTGTGAACAGACTGTAATGTAAAAAGTGAGGCTCATTTGACTTGCCACCAGCGACATTTTATGAATGCTGTCATTTTTAGTGATGACAGTGACTGTTACCTTAAAATTTTGTACACTGCTCTTTGCTAAAAAGAACGAGAGGGGTCTAGTTTTGTAATTTATGTACCGTAATTTCCGGACTATAAGCCGCTACTTTTTTCACTTGGCCCCTTGTACTTGTACTTGGCCCCAAAAAACCTCAGAGACTCACTGTCTAAAGATATAGTTACTCTAGATAGTATTACTTTGGCCTCTAGCACCACTGTCAGGAATCTTGGAGTTATCTTTGATCAGGACATGTCATTTAATTCCCACATAAAACAAACCTCCAGGACTGCCTTTTTT